TAAGGAACACTTTCCTAAAACAAAGAAAGAACATTCAACTTTGGGGTTGAAAAAAGGAACATTGGTATAGACTAGGAAAAAGAAGAAATCAGATACTTGGTCAAAAGCCATGAAGCTTGACTTTAAGAATTCAAGTTTCTCTTATACCAGGGGACATCAAATAAGATTTCACAGCTTTCTCTAACAAAATTCAGAGTGAAACACACCTGAACTTGTTGCACGTATCTTTTCTAGTTAGGCTAATCCCTCCAAAAACACTTCTACAAAAACTGAAGCTGCAATGATGCAGTAAAAAAGACTAAGTGGGCCAAACGGGAGGGAGAGAAGAATGGAAGCTACTCAGTTTTTCCAGGGACTATTGTTCCTTATTTAAAATTAATTTTTTTAAATAAATGTATTTACTACTTTGAAAGACAAATACTTTTAGGATGATTTTTCAGTATCTGCCCTGTTTTGATATTGTCCAGTGAATAACCATTACCACAGATGTAGAAGTTCCGCTCAGGAAGGAAACCATTGACAATAACTGGAGACCTGAACTCCCACTTCAAGAAAATTATTATTTTTTTGGGACTGTGTCAGTTGTCAATACTTGAAGTGTCAAGAAGCCCTTCTAATACCAATCAGTGTTGACAATGGTCATATGTCTAGACAAAACTTCTGAAGTCAATGGAATACTCATTTCCTTCCACCCTCCAGCTCTCAAATGCAGAAAGCACACTGTGCTATGAATGCAAAGGGCTAGTTAAGTTTCTTGAGGGATGATGCATGCACTTAATTACTGACCTAAGAACATTAATTGGCAGAATTTTAATTGATATATACAATCCCTGATTTAAGGTCAAATTAACCAGTTTTAAGCTATTTAAGAGTTTTTTCAACTCAAGCATTTACTGCCCACACTACAATGCCACTGTTCACCCTGCCCAGGGGTGCAGTAACTCTTCTGTTCCTCAGTGAATTATAGATTTTTGAATTATTTGCTCCCTGCCCCAACACACTAAGAATTAAGCTGAATTTATGCTATCCTTCACAGAAAAAACGTTGCCAATTGTACAGCTTTTGTACAGCATGAGCAGTATGCAAGGAGATGCATTCTTTTACTAAAATAAGCTAAGCAAAGATGGATAGAGGATTTACAGCACATGATAAGGGAGACTGGAAGGTTCAGAATCTGGGTTTGTTTTCAATCCTACAGGCAAAAATCAGTACAGCTAAACATAATTAAGCAGAGAATGTAAAGACACTTTACATGTTTATTTTTTCTTTCTAGCCTATTAAGGAAAGGGCTGGAAAAACAAAGACAATTTTAAACCTCACCACCTCCAGACACAGTAGACTAAGTACCACATACGTAGCCTAATTATAAAATTTATCTACAAACAGAAACCAACTTCCTACTGGAACACCACTCTTCCTAAACTAAATTTGCATATCAATTAATGGCACAGAAATGAGATAGCAGTATAGCAGAACATGAAGTAACAAAGTTAACAGACAACCTTGCCAGCTAGCTGAAAATATGAATCTGCAGATGAAAATGAGCATTTTTATATTGATGTGGCATTACACTGCAATAATGACCTTATTTTGATTCTATTTATTCTAATAAGCCTATACTGATGAGTTTTATTCATAAGCAACAAAAAAAACCCCTAACATCTAGTTTGTATCTTCAACCCAAACTGTTTTTCATACCATTATAGAGCCAGAAGACATCAAAGAAAAAGTCCATAATAGAATCCCCTCTACCCATATATACTTTGGTACAAACATTTCTGTCCTTGACTGTCAGCTTTTATTTCAATCTTACTCACATTCTGGTTTACTTTCCCAAGCAGCATTACTTCTCTTTAAAGACATATAACATATATTTAATGTTTGGAATTTATTTCTTATATTGCCAAAACTTTATGCTATATAAATGCCTTATAGCCGAAGTTATTCCTTACTTCAGCAAGTTCATAAATGTGATATTTAAAATCTCCCTATAATTTTTCACATCCAGCATTGCTTTCCATTCTGTCTGCTTCCTAGTTTATAATCATGATTTTTAAGCACTTATCTTCTATTACAAGATTTTATAGCCTATCATTCCTATGGAGGTAATTAATTTAGAAAATAGCCTAAAATTTGTCACAGACCATCAAAAACTACTAGAATTGGACACTATGGCACACAGTCAATCTTTGCCAATAGTACACAGCAGACAGTTTGCTCAAACATAGGGATGATTTAATGGCTTCCCTTTGGTCACTGAAGCAGAATCCTTCCTGACCTGCTTCACCATGCAGCACCTTGGCAGCTCTGCAGGTCTCTTCACATTCAGGAGCCACACGAGAAAGTTAAATCAGGCAGGCTGGGACTTGCTCCCAAGACTGGTCTAACAGCTACTGGAAAGTGTTTAACCTGGGATCCCCAAGCTACAACTGAACTGCCAAGAACTGCTTCCTTCAGCCTTTCCAAAGAGCAGCAAAGGGCACCTCAGCCACAATCAGAGGAACAGAATCACAGAATGGTTGAGGTTCAGACCTCTGGAACTTGTGTAGTCTCCCTGCTCAAAGCAGGATCACCTCTAACAGGTTACTTGGGATCTTTCCTATTCCAGTCTGGTTTTGAGCATCTCCAAGCATGGGGAGACTTGACAAGTTCTTGTGTCTGCTAGGGAGCCCAGAACTGGGTACAGCACTCCAGATGGGTCTAAGATGAGTAGAGAGGCTGGATGGCCCCCCTTCCGCTGCTGCTGCTTATCAGTGCAACCCAGAGTGCTGTTGAATTGTCCTTGCCACAAGAGTACATCAGTGGGCCACTTGTCCACCAGCCTCACTTCTGGCTGCTGGACAAGCTGAACAAGAACAGTACCTTTTTTCAGCTTCTTCCTTAGGGCATAATGTCTACCCAGTGGTGGTGGGGACATTAATCAAAATGCCAGGTGAGACCACAGTAAACAAAGATTACTTGGGATGAAAGAATAACATGGTATTTTGTAATCTCTACAGCAAAGTTACATTAGTAAGCATTAGAGAACATTTCAACACTCACATCCTTTAGCAAGAAAGGAACAAAAAGAAACAAAGCTGCTGCTGTCTTACTAAACCAGCAAAACCATAAATGCTATGTAACAAACAAGTCCCAGTATCATACACTGTAAAAGCTGTTCACAAAGAAGATTGCCATACGGTCAGACCAGGTGCAAAGCAGGGAAACTGAGGCAAACCTTATCTTCTTTAAGCCAAAACAAACTCTAATGCCGACTAAAATGCATAATTTGAGCGAACTAAAAGAAAAATGGCCTCATTTTTCATTCAACATGCAGCTATGTTCTGTGTTACTGGAGTTACTCTGATATTATGCAAATTAAAAGAGTTAAGCTTGCAGGCAGAAGGTAAATAATCTTATTTAAAACTTGCTTTTTAACACAAAATTTTCTAGTCAACAAAGAGAATGAAAAGCTTTAAGTATGATGCTTTTACCACAGGGTCTTGTAGTATGTCATGACAGACTTCCATGCTCATGTCCAAACCAAAGCTGAGCATTACTTAATCAGGCATAATAGAGCTTGCTATGAAAGTGAAAATATTTCCATAGTGCCTTTTCAGCAGACCTAGTAGGTACAGCAACATGATGATTCAGCAGAGATGAGCTCCTGCTCAAAACAGAGGGAAACATCTACCAGAAGTCAGAGAGCTGCTGACCAGTCAAGCTGCAGTTCTCCCAGCTAATTGCCTTGGGTATTTTTGACTCACATGCATGGGCTATATCTCTAGTGAGGCACAACAGCCTCTTCAGCTGATTTTTTCACGACTATTTCCTATTAATACTTTGTAACCCACCTCCCCTCTCACTTCTATTCAGCCTCTACGTGATATTTCCTATTTGGCATTTACAGAAATTGCTGCTGGCTGAACAGGATTAAACCAGTAAAGCAGCCAAGGAATAAGAGACACATGACAAATAGGTCCCTGTTATATGACAAAGAACAAGTACATATGCTCTAATTTGACATCAGTAAAAAAATATCTTTTTCTCCAACAAAATGAGAGAAATGTTCAACTATTCCACCTAAGAAAGGCAAAGTATGTAAGTCATGTAAGAGAACTCAAAGCATCTTTATAAGAGTAAGATTTTAACTCGAAGAGTTGTATGTCTTCTGGAATCAGAAGTATCTAAAGAAGATTCAAGGATCACTCAGGACCAAATAGCAAAGGCTACCTAAAATCTGCAAAACATGATTTCTCTAGACAAAGAGCATATGCTTAAAAAATCAGTTTTAATGTCCTTGTGGCTGTCACAGGACCACAATCAGGATTCATTGGTCTGCACAAAGTAGCCACACCAAAGTACACAAACTCCAAACACTTCATAACCCACTGTGAGCCCAAGCAAAACCAGCTATCTAACCAGTGAAAAGCAAAACAACAATCACAAAATTGTGAACAAGCCAACTGTTCTTAGGATTATGCAAGATACAATGGCTACTAAAAACCCCAAATTGTATCAAAATTTCTTTTCCCAAGTAAAAGCCAGCCTTCCTCTTAGTGCATTAAATAGTAGGATGATACAATAGAACAGTTGATCCTGCAATCAGCAAATGCTGCTCTGCTCAGTTTAGTCACCTACATGTATCAGCTGAGTGGGGCTAGACAGATGGGAAGCTCCACCACCTGCTTAATCAGCAGCCTAAAGGCCTCTAAAAAGAAATTTTGTATGACATTTGAGAATTAATCTGAGTTTTAATAGAGAAAGGTGTTTATCTAAAAGCATTTAATTTGTGACTAAAAATTATGCCTTCAATTTTGACTTATTTAATACATTAAAACCCAATTTATGCCAAGTAAGGAGAACAAACTCAAGCTTAAAAAGATTAACAGATAAACATCAGCAAGGAAGGCACACCAATACATAAAAATAACTGCTACAAGGCTAAAGCAGCTTGCTCTCATTTTCCAACTTCCTCTCTACTACCATTTTGTTAGCAATCAGTCCACAGTGGCACCCACCTCAATCCCACTTTGTCTGGCTAGTTTCACAGCTGTGTTGTAGTAGCCACAGCGCAGGAGATGCTCCACCATCATACGATCCATGCGCTTCTTCTTCCACATGTTGGCAGCAGCTGGCTGGTCACTGCTGTGCTCCTTCAGATGTTCAATCCTGCGCTTGCAGAGCTTCGCACTTTCATCCTCAGCCTGGATTGACTCAACGGCCTAAAAAGTAAAAACCAACAGTAAGAGCTACACATTTTCAATCTCCTTTTAGAGGAAAACACAGTAATTGTTTGTAAGCATTCTTTATATGTTACACAGCTACTCCCAGTAGTGCCTCTTGTTTAGAAATATTTCCTATGGCAGTGCCTAAGCTTCTGCATTGCTGGTCCAGTTCTGAAATATTCTTGCACAGAAGTAAGTTTTGATCTATTTGACAGTATGAATATATACATTTTTCTGCTTAATTTGCAGTTTATCCAAAAGCAGAAATGTACCAACTATGGCAGCAACTGCTGTAATAGCCTGCAAAGAGCTTTGTGAAATTTGCAGTCATCTGGTCCAAACAGTTGAAAAGCAAAATTTCCACCTCTACCCTATGCATAGTTTCTTCCTCCAGCAGCTGTCCTGCTGTATTAGTTCTGCTGAGGAGTGATGCAGAGTAAACCCACATTACTTCTAAAACACTGGAGCCATTTTAGGGTGTCATGCAATAATGGAAATTATACAATTGGTTGGCCTCTTGGCACCTGTAATTCAAAGATCTAAAAGCAGTTTTTCAAAATCATCAGTTTTGTTAAACTGGTACTATTTTATACAATTCTGCTACTGTGGAAACGTGCATCCCTTGTTAAGAAGCTTTACTTAGGAAAACACAATTTGTCCAGAGGAACTAGATTGATTATTTTACACCAACATATTGGCATACCCAGCAAAAAAACCACACACCAGTCCCCCAAGGTATTGCCACAATATTTTTTTTTAAATTAAAACTAAAACACTCAGCTCAGTTGCTTTCCTTCAACCTTAGAGCCATCATTCCAAGCTGGCTGACTCAGTATGCTGAGCATGTGACAACTTTGGGCCATGTCAGGCTACAGAACTCCAGAAAGCTGGCACAACTTTTATGTGCCTGCTAAAGTGAAGGCAAACCAGGAGAGGATGGTTAGTACCCTTCCCATCTGCAATGTATCACTAGTGAGTTAGGATGCCCTGTGGTAACTTTAAACTTGCTGGCTTGTGTTTGAATGACTGCACAGGTCTGGCAGCTGGAAGGCACAGTCAGAACTTTTGGCAGCCCACTCTGCACACCATGCTGACACAGTGACCTGTCCAGAACTCAAACTGTAGTATCATATATGGTCCAGCTCCAGCTCTGGAAGCACAGGTTCATTCTAATTGCATTTACCATGTCTGCCCATAGACAGACTTCTTCTGGAAGGATCAGTATTTGAAAAGTAAAGTGAAATGAGAGAAAACTTGCAAGGAAAGCTTACTTGCATTGAGCTTGCTCCCTGTCCCCCCTCTCCCCCCCCAATTAAGCCTGACTCTGATCTGACCCTTGATAGCAAATTCAAGTATCTAAAACACTAGTCACTATACAAGAGTCTCTTAATAACATCCATATAAACATCTGTAGCCTGAGTTATTTTTACTACTGAAGTCCGAGTTACTTGCGCTGCTGACTTCAGCTTTATTTTGTAACATAGTTTGGAAACAAGTATTTTGTCTGAATTATAAACTGGGTCTCTTCCTTTTCAGCAGGCAAACACTAACTCAAGACTATATACACTTTCACTTTTTAGTTATCTGCACTATTATCAGATGTGAAGGCAACCCTGAGAAATATTCTGAATACAACTAAGAACTCGAGGCAGTCAGGCACAAAGGTTAGACCCTTTCTGCTTCCAAAGGGTTCTTCTTATATGGCTTTATATCTGGATCTATACAGCTCTTGCTGGTTTTTTGATCCTTCTAGTATGTTCAGAAAGGCTACAGATTCTTTTCAAAACCCTCTGAAGCAAGTCTATCTGGACTTGCCTTGCTGGACATTAACAGAACTTGAGGGAACAAACACAGTAAACAGGATACAAAAGGGAAAACACAGAGGCCTAGGTTTCCCCAGGACCATTTTCAGAACTGAAGAAACCTGCTGTGTTTTAAAGCTCTCTTTCAAGAGTGAGTAAGGTGTTAAATAAAGGAACCATCTAATTCTATTATGGCCATCTCAGCAGTTCATAAGATCCTTGTCTAAACACAGGAGGCAACAGAGATCCCACATGGGTCCAAAGGCTCTAAAGAAAACAGTCATTTTGCTCGGGGCAGAGATTATAGAGAAGACCGTTGGGAGTTGAGGGTTTGGAGCAGAAACAAGACCTTTGTATTTCAGAGGACTTTTACTGGTTAATAGTTTTTTTTGGCCTTTTGTTCTGAATAGCTATAAGATTCCCCAGAGTCCTTCATGCAGTCAAAAACAAATGAGCAATTAAACTAAAATGGAGCTTTGCATCCAAAACACTCAGCAATGCCTTCAGACACACCCCCACAGTCAGCAAAGCTTTAACAAGTAAATAACTTTTACTCCTCCACATCATTACTACACACCTACAAGCAACATACAACACCTCTGTCAGAAACAGCTCCTCTTTTCTGTAAGTAACAGAGAAGTGAAGAAAACACATCCTTTAAGTCTCACAATCTGAGGATGAAAAGAGCAATTAATTTATCAAGTCTTTTGCAGAACAGCTTTTCAACACCTAGCTAACTTGTTCAAGCAGAAAACCCCAAATCAACACACATGACAGCGTTATTTTCATGGTGCAAACCTCCAAGGTATTTTGATGCTTCACACAGTACTGTCTCAAGATCTATATCTGTTGGTTATTTCATTTAAGTTTCAATGCAATGACTCTGCTTCTACGTTTCATCTATTTATTTTTGGAGAAGCACTGCTCTCAAGTCAGGTGACAGCTATTTCCATTTTTCTGCAAGACTTGTTTCAAGTAAGTGTTCTGATGACTCTAGGGATGAGTAATATTCCCATCCAAAATAAGGATGGCTTATACTTCTTTTTCTGAGAACATATACATCTTTCTCTAAGAAAGATGTGGCAAAGGCATCAAACGCTGGTTGTATTTTGTTCAAGCTTAACAGCTAGAAGCAGGTTATCCTGCCAAATTTTATTTAAAAGGCTCTTAATATTCCATAGGAATCTTTCAGATTCCAAGTTGAGTGTTTATAAAAAATTTTCAAGTAACAATCCAGGACAACTTGCACTTTCTTCTGCAGAGAAGTCTCAACAGTGCATACAACTATTCCTGCACCGGGGGTTTCATATTTTTTCAGCTTCATCTTCTACCTGTTTTGCTATTCCAGTGATCAGTTAATTCAATTGCACAAACCTTTCCATTAGACAAGCAGGAATTGATACAGATCAATTCATTTTGCTACTATTTTTTTTCTGTTAGTAAAGAAAGTCCTTTTCAGGACTACAAATATGTATTTATTTTGTTATACTTAGACAAGAACCACCAAATTGTGTTTCTTAAGCACAGTGAAGCAAGGCTTTTAAAGAGCCAGTAATGCCTGTAATTTTGAAAAGAAAATCCAAGCAAACAGCACTGCAGTGAAGGTAGAACAGCACTCACCTTGCGTTTCAGAACGCTGAGTTTTTCAACGACTCCATCCAGGAGACTGACAACTGAGTCCACAGCAGGGCAGCTGCTCAGTGTCTTCTCCAGCTCCGCCACCACCATGGTCACGTGGCTGGTCTCTCGATCAATGTTCTTCTGTGCAGCTCGGAATCGTTTGTTCAGTGTTTCGTATGGCACCTGAAGCAGAAATAGCAAGTCATTCGAATTTCTGTATTTAAAAAGTGAGGTCCTCTAGAGCTTAGAAAGACTGATAGTTTCATCTGATGCAGCCCAAAGAACACCTCAGCTCCAGAGGACTAGAGGTCATTGACTGGACTTCGAGTTCCCAACTAAAACCATTATTTAAGTTCTCTCAGCAAGGAGCTCACATTTCTATTATGAAAAAACATGTGGAAAAATACTGCAGTTTCTTATCTGATACCATGTTCACCTATCCTGCTTTGGCTGTAAGAAGCATTGATGGAAACAATCCAGGGACAACAGAATATGAAGACAAATTTGTACCTACAAAAGGAAAGCTACAAATTAAACCACAAGTAAGAGAGATCACCCTTCAGACCCTGACTTTCTAGTTTTACATTTCTTTCCTTCACAAATACATTAAAAAAGAGAAAGCTACCTTTGAGAGAAAGCATATATAATGCATATTGGCTACTGAAAAATTTATACATAGTACACCAACAGTTATTCAGGAAATCCAACAAGTCTCCTACATACCTCTTCCCATGAAAGACTACTTTTTAGTGTTACTTCCCCAAGGACTTTAAGGAATGCCAAGAGAAACCCCATGTAAATTTTCTTTTAGTGACAAAAGCCTACAATGTATGACTAAACTGGTTAATTTCCTCTAATGCTCCTTTCCTGAGTTAAGAGATATACCAATCTTCGAGGTCTCCTGTCCTACTTGGCCCATACCTTTGTGGAACGGTCGAATGGCCATTATGGCCATTAGGAACACATAGATGGGAGCAGTCTACAGCCTGGGGAATGATTTGGGAAATGTTAAGCTGCTTCCACTACAGTGGTAGCAAAAACAATTTAGACGAGAAGTTCTATTACTTCACAGAAACAAGGAATTTTAAAAAACATTCCAGTGCTATATACTTAATTCAGACATATCTTTAATCTTTAAAAAGTCCATGAGAAGTTTTCAGGTCGTTATGATAATCTTGATTGCTTTTCCATTAATCAAAGGCATAATTTAGATTTCAATCAGATTATCCATGTTAAAGGTAAAACAGGAAACACAAATCAGTGCTCTGTTTGGTACATATCACGTATATATGTTTGATTACAAATCTTTCAAGCATATAACTGCTAATCAATTATATCAAGGTCTCCGTTTTCCTCCTTCTAATTATCTCCATGCAAGGAAGTATCCCCAGGGGCCACAGCCCTTCTGGGTTCTATTAGCAAAGAGGTTCCTACAGCACCACTGGAATTCCCCATGAGAGAACAGTTTGGTTCAGAGGAAGCAAGATGAGCCAAAGCTTTTGCTTTCCCACACTTTGCATTACCTACAAGAAGTTGTGCTTATTTGTAGAAGTAATAAAAGACAAGGATAATCCTGATAAGATATGAAAGGACTCCTCTTCTCAAGACTGAAATTATCTATTTAGTGTTTCTTGGTATCACAAACTAAGACCTAAACAAATGACAGGGCAAGACTCTATCACAGAAGGCACTAAGCCAAAACAATTATTTTTCTTATACGTTTTGTCCTAAAATCCCAGCACTACACCCACCCAAAACTCAAATCACATAAACCATGACAAATAATAAGCTTTAACACCGGCTTAGTTGCCTATATAACAATTTTCCATCTCCAACCCTCATTTCTTTTTAACATTTACACAAAAAATTGCAGTATTTTAGAGACCCACAGATAAAAATGGATGTTCTAGGAGGCCATTGTTTTGACATCTCATGTTTTTGAACATGGAAACTTATTTCCAACTCTAAGACCTGATGCCAGACAGTATTAAGACAACTTCTTGCCTTCTTTTTGCTCCACTGCATTTTTCTTACCGTTCACCAAAATGTATTTCTGCAAGTATTTTGCTACTCAGCTTTCCATGCCACACTGAAAATCTGCATCAATAAAGACTTGCACAAGCTACTATTAATTTGAGGTACCTTTTTTAGTATAGAAAGTTCTTTTGTTACATTTTGAGCAGTCAGCGGGACAGAGATCTAGTCAGTTCAGAAAAAAGTCTGTGTTTAATCTCCCTTTTTTCCCAGTTCCTTATCTGCACTCAAGAGCAGTAACAGCACCCATTTCCTGTGCTCTGTCTCTTCAGCATGCAGTCTTCTGGCACAGTTCGTGTTCATATGACATTTAGAACAATTGAACTTTCAATTTCAGCTAGTATCACTATATATCACTTAGAATGTCTAGGTGCAATAGGTTTTTGAATCTTCTTTTATCTTTTGTTTCCCCTACCATAAAAACAATCTGAATGTTTTCTGTAGAAGAGACTAGGAGTTGAAATGTTTCCACTATATACTCTGAAAGTAAATAAAAGTAAACTTATTGAGAAACATAATTTAGTGTGTCATAACAAGGGAAGTTAAAGGTACAATAAAATTATTTCCATAACTGGAGCTGACAGTAAATACACTTCACCAGAGATTTTTGTAATTTGCACAGACACTTGTTTCCTATTATAGAGCCAGCAGTTTTCATGAGAATAATTGTGAATCACATCTAGGTACAGCTTTTACACTTATTTTACAGGAACAGAGTCTATGAATGCAAAAATTTAGAACTGCAACTGCTATATTCCTTACAAAGCAGGATTTTATCTTGAATTTGCATCTTGATCTGGTGGTTTTTTTATTACTCCTACAGCTCCAAAGTGCCAAAAGTCCCAGCTCCCTAGCACTGGCTTGCTTTACTGCAGAAGACTTCAAAAGTTACAGGCACTCTACCAAGAGGATTGTTTTTTTCCACCAATAATTAATGGAAGAAGAACATATAAGAAAGTGTTCTGGACAATGCAATTATAAAAATTTTAAATTATAGTTCACTTTGATTTTCAGGTACCATTGTTAGAACACTGTGAACACCAAAGTTCTCAGACTAAGAGACAGATGCAAGATTTATATCTCATTAATTGCCATAAACCTATTAGAGACTTGGAACCTCTTCTGCCAGTACCATTCTGTGACCAAACCTGGATTACAGAGCCATTATTTAGAGACAAGAGTGACCTACAGAACTCAGCCTAGGGAAGTATTACCTTAAGGAAAAAAGAATAAATCAGCTACTAGAAAATCCGAAATAAAGCAGCAAGTACTGACCAGAATGTGTTCTGTATAAGCACAATACCAACTTGTCCTACTCGTTAGAGCTTGAAAAACCACACCCAGTTGCCTCATACTGTGAACATACATGAGGATACAAAGGAGAGTTGTAAAATATTAGTAGGCACCACATTTAAATCAGTGGCACTAAAGATTCTGCTCCTTTTGTTCACCAGCTTCCACAGCTGGACACATTATTCAACCTAAGCATTTACTAAACCAGGTCAAACTTAAACCTAGTGAAAAAGAATTTGAGTAAAGTTAGAACAACCTACACAAGAGGTAAAATTCCAGTTTTTCCAAGATCAAAATTTTGCTGTGAGATGAAGTCTGCTTGGCTGGAGGCTTCTGCAACTGTAGCGTGACTGTTTCCAGGTGCTAAACACTAACAAAAAAGCAAGAGACAACTGATTAACCTGATCCAAATATTTTCTTCATTTCAGGAGTTACTTCACTCTGCTTTCAGAAAGCCAAAAAAGTGGTGTGCTGTCCCAGAACATGCTCCAACAACCTCTAGCTTGGAGACATGACTTAGAAGAGGACTGTTCAGGGTGTACAAGCTTGAACTGGTGGAAGAGGAGGAAGGACTGACAGGAGAGTTACACGTTGATCGCCCAGTTGAGAGGAAGGAGTAGAAAACTGCAGAGCTAAGGATGTCAGGGGGAGTTTTTAAGTGTACACTTGGGAACTCAACTGTGAAGTTTACTACCTGGCCTTCAGCCCAAACACAGTCCTCTTCCTCCCCATGAATGCAAATAAGGTACCAAAGCAAGGCAGAGTTCTCAAATAATGAAGTGGCTAATACTATTCAAAACTGGGCAACTGTAGGCAATCTTTCTTTTCATAAGCCATATAAAATGTAACTTGAATACCCTTAAGTAGAGTGAATTTAAATATATTTTCATAAAAATAAATTTTTCAATAAGCCATTCACTTACTAAGTAATTCCATTTTCTTGAGTTTTTTCAAAACACATTAAAAATAGAAAAAAACCAGCCAATATTAAATGCTTGCATATGTTGTAACCTGATGTTTTGCAAACTGTATACACTTCTCAAGTGTTAATTATCAGTCTCCACATAAATATTTAAAGAAATATCTTTATAAATATCTTAAATAACATTAAGCCAACTGCATACAGGGGTGGATAACAAGTGTGAGCAGCTGGTCAAGGGAGGCAATCTCACCCCTCTACTCTGCTCTTCTGAAGCCCCACCTGCAATGCTGCACCCAAATACAAGAGGGATCTGAGCCTGCTGGAGTGAGTCCAGAGGAGGCCACAAAGGTGATCAGAGGGTTGGAGCCCCTCTGCTGTGGGGACAGGCTGAGACAGCTGGGGGTGTCTTGCCTGGAGAAGAGAGCTGGAGAGGAACTTTTCACCAGGACATGGAGTGAGAGGACAAGGAGGAATGGCTTCAAAATGGCAGAGACAAGGTTAGATTATATATAGGGAAGAAATTCTCTACTGTGAGGGTGGTAAGGGCCTGACACAGCTTATCCAGAAAAGCTATGGATATGACCCATCCCTGGAAATGTTCAAGGCCAGGCTGGATGGGGCTCTCAGCAACCTGGTCTAATGGACATGGCAAAGAGGCTGGAATTAAATTATGTCCCAGTTCCCTTCAAGTGAACCCTTCAATGACTCTAAATCATTGAAGCTAATCCTTTACACAGTGTCCTACAATGCATATTGCTTTTACACTCATTATCAAGATTTTGCTGAGATTAATTTTTCTTCTCTTCTTAAGGTTTTTCTGAATGTATCTGTGTGTGCACACTTTGTACTCCTTCCATAAATCAAATATATAGAAACAGCTGCTGAACACGCTCCCACCTCAGCTCTTGCTTATCTCTACAGACTCACATAAAAACACCTTAGAAAACCTGTGATAAGAGCCAGCCATCTATAGCCTTTAACAATATCAAAAGGGAGAGGAGAATGCAGACCATTTTCCCCTCATAGAAGTTTATTAATTATAGTGATCAAAGCTTAAAAAGCCTTGCTATCTCAATGGCATCAATGTTGTTGGAAGTCAGACACCCAGACCGGACTTATGCTCATTGTAGCACCTTGAATTCTATTAAGCAGCTTAATGGCATTTCGAGAATATGGCAAAGTCTTAGCTTTGCACACTTGCAGCTTCTACAACAGACACAGTCACTCACTGAGCACCTGGGGTTTGCAAACAAACAATACAGACACTGCTGAAGGGATAGAGTACAACATAACAAAACAAACATGAACTGTGGAGAGGTCTTTGCAGAGGTGTTGTAGCTGTCCAGCCACAAAAGCCTTCTGAGTTAGAGCTAGAAATGCAGCTCTCATTACCATCACAGACAACATATACATCCACTTAATTCACTAGACTTCAAATCAGTAATTGCAATTACCAGTGCCTTACAGACACCAGCAGCTTAAGGAAGATGAAAAGCACCTACAGAATTGAGTTTGTGACCCAGATACAAAGGACAACAAGGTCTCACTTCTGAATGCCTTCTCTGTCTTTACTGGTAAGGCCTTCTCCTAAGCCTTCATGATGAGCAACCGGGTCTGGGGAGTCTGGGGAAACATTCACTCATGTAAGGAGTCCAAAGCAAGCTGAAGATACACAGGAACACAGGAGCAGAAGGGAGGAAAGGAGAGAGCTCTTGGATGACACTGCAAACCTGCTAAAGTTGCTGGAATGTCACAATGAACAAGAAAGCTGTCCGTGACTGAAAAGAGCAAGTTTTGTGCCTCTACCACAAAAAGAGAACCTGGAAGATCACAAAATCTACAAGCTGGTCTGCCTCATCTCAGTTCTTGTGAAAGTTACAGGAAAAAAAACACCAAAAAAGCCCAACCATTTCCAATCTTATAAAGGTGACTAGGAACAACCAGCCCAGATTTGTCATATGCAAATCAAGCTTGACAACACTGCTTGCTTTCAGTGATGAACTGACTCTCTGAATGGCAGGAGCACACTGGCAGCCTTTTCTGCCAATAGTAGTGAGGTTTTTGACATTGTCTCACTTGTGGCCAAACGGGGGAGACTGGACTCAATGGCTGAACACAAGATGAACCAGGGACTGACTAGTCAGGCTCTAAGAATAATGGTCAGTGGTTCCAAAGCTTCCTGGTGACCAATTGCAAGTATTGCTTGTCTCCCCAGGAATGTTATCAGCTCCAACACACATCATCTTCAACCATCTGCCCTACGGAAAGCTCACAGAGGACAAACTGGTGGAGTGCTTGATAAATGGGTGTCAGAGCTGCCAATCAGAAAAAATGACAAACTGGAGAAATACACCAAGAACTTTATGAAACATAATCAAGGCAAACACCAGGGCCCAATACCTGGCACAAATCCACCACTGCAAGAAAAGACATAGAGGTCCTGATGGACAGCAGGTGGGATATGAATCAGCAACAGGCTCTCATGGCAATGAAGGGTAACCCCATCCCAGGCTGCAAGACTAAAGGCAGTGGGTTGAAGAGTGATTGTTTATGCTCAGCACTCACACAGACTCATCTGGAATACTGAGTCTGGTTTTCAGGTCACTCTTCACCCCACCCCCCCGCCCCCCACTAAAAAAGAGATGCTGGCAACCTGGAGAGAGTCCAGGAGGCTGCCACCATGACAGTGAGCTGGCTGGAGGATTAAAAAACAAAAAAAATCCAAGAGAAGCTGAGAGGGGCAGGCTTGTTTCTTGTTTCCGCTGCAGAAGGGAAGGCTATGGGGAGCTGGACGCGGCACAATCTGATAGAAGCTTTCTACCACCAAAAGGTGAAGGTCACAGATAAGAGCCAGCCAGACCTTCCGGAGTTACAGAGCAAAAGGGAAAGAGGCAGAGTTGACAACTGTCACTAAAGAAAATCCCAGCTGGACGTAAAAAAAATATTTCACTCAGAAGTCTTGGTAAGCACTGGAACAGCAGCCCAGAAAGCTGACAGAATTGCCACCCTCAAAAACTTTCAGAACTTGGCAGGACTCTGAGCAACTCAGATTAGCTTTGAAGTTAGCCAAGGTTCAAGCAGAAGCCTGAATTTAACACTGTCTGCAGAAGTACTTTTCTACCTTAATTTAATGAATTCGTCTTTGCTAACTTAGACATCACATTTCCATATCTGAATGACCATACCAGATAAGACAAAAAATCCCCTCTCTGTCACTATCTTTTCTTTGATAATATCCAGAAAGAGGATGGTACTTGAAAAAAGGCAAGAACAAAGTTACTATAATCCCAAACAATCTAACTGGGCTTCTTGAGCCAAAGATGGGAATTTAATAGTAGAAACACCACGGAGTGTTTCTCATCCATGAACTCTGGTTGTTGTTGACCTGAGTTTTAGCACTGCAACATCCTGTTGTGAGACATTTCACAGGCTCACAACTATGTGAAGAAATACTCTTTGGTTTTGACTTTTCAACTAATTTGAAACCCTTTTGTTCTTGTTTTGGAAGCACAAAAGGGAACCCTCTCTTTCTCCTACATACTTCTCACATATCTTGAGATTGGAGAGACTCTTTCTGCACCATTCCTTGAAGACAGACATTCCATCTCTCTAATCATGCTCGCCCTTCTGTAGACATTTTCCAGTTCTCTAACACCCTTTCTCAGGATGAAAGAAGGGAGGAAATGAGAGTAAGTCATACTACTTGAGAGAAGAACAAACCATGGATTTTAACTGCTATGTATTGAGTTCTCCATTCTTTCCTTTCCCAACATTTCTGTCCTGTTTGTTAACATTAACCTGGCCACTCACACAAAACATTCACTATTAGCCCTGAAATCCCACTGACCAATGATGATCATTTCCAACTCAGTTATTATATATATAAGACTAAGATTAATTTTCTTTCCACCATACCTAAAAACTGTATCACACTGCACTTACCTATACTGAATTTAATATATTTTAACACCCATTCAGTCTCTCACTATTTTTTCTCTAATGGTTCACAATTGGGCTGCATCTGTAATACCTCAATTATCTTAGTAGCATCAAGGAAACTGCTTCATCTCAGCACTTACTCATTCTTCCAGGCTGTTCAAACAGCTGAATACCACCAGGATGCCAGCAGAATCCTAACACCAATCTTCCTCTATTACAGAAGCTGGCTACTAAATCTTGATGTTTGTTTTTTATCTTGACCAGTTCCTTATCTGCATAAGGACTTCAGTCTTGCTTGCAAGAGTTCCTGGTAAGGCTTATCTCCAAAAAACATCCAGTAATATGAATAAACTATCAACCAAGTCCACCTCACTGCCTACTTCAGTTTTTTAAAAACAACTCCAATACCTTTACATGGAATGCTCTTTCTAAAAGTCATATTAACTGATGTACATTATTCCATATTGGATTAGTCAGGATATTATTTCTGCATCAATAAGCCATTGGCTGGAAGGGAAAAATCAATTGCATATATTAAAAATCTCACTAAAGTTTTACTTAAAGTAGAAGCACAAAACAGTCTTCTACATTGTCTTTCTTCCACAGCTATCCAACAATATCCCCAGACTACTTCAGCATTGTCAGAGGAGAACTCAACACAGGAGAAAGGGATTTCTCCCACAACAAAAAAGCTTTTTATAACAAGTGTTGCATGCTGCATTTCTACTTCTTTGGAGGTGGAGGATGTTAGGCCAAAGTCTAATGGCCACTGCAAAATTCCAAATACCACCTTGATGCTGCCCACAAGTTTTTCTAACTGGTACACACCAACACTGAAAGACTGAATTACACATTTCTTTCATGATTGAGGTTTTGAAAAAAAATAAGCCTTTATTCTCCTCCAAATCTTTAGCCTTACATTAGACTTTCAGCACACCAGTTCTCACACTGATCTGGTCACACACTACAACACTGGCCAAATTCCTTCTTTACTTATATAAAATTCAGCCCTAAGGAACTCCAAATAAAAATGGAAACCAAAACACGATCACACATACACAGATCACAAGATTATTCAAAATGTTTCTAGTCCACAGTAACTGCATGGATGAAACTAGTTCAGATGCAGCAGAAAAAAAGTAAAAATCAGTTTGTATAGCTATCGTTTGGTATTGGGAATTATAGAGTAAAAGTGAGACTTCAAAAAAGTCAGTTGAAGGAAGAAATTGAAGGAAGAAGTATTTGGTTATATAAGTAAGATCATTAACTATTCTCCAGACTCCCGTTAACAGGAATTTTCAAAGTTTCTAAAAACTCATTTTCATAGAAAACAGTATAGACAACAGAAACAAGCATCTTTTACATAGGTTTGCAATCCTGTAAAGTACCTCAGTGTTAAAGTATCTTGGCTAAAAGTAACTCTTTCACACATAAAATGTTTTTCTTTTAAAAAACAAAAACCTACATTGTATATCTTTTCAAATTAACTCTGTCATGAGAAGGAGGGAATTAGAAATTAATTTTAAAAAATCTTATTAAATACATAAAGTCACAAAACTAGGGTGAAGAAAAAAAAAAGTTTTAAGAAATATGAAATAAAAAGAGTCCTACCCGATTAGGTGGGGGGAACCATTACAGAACTATGCTTTCCTTTCAAGGGTCAGAAAAATGGTGTGCTTCCTCTCCTCAAGTGTGTTAGCTTATAACACCTGAAAACACCAGAGATTTGTATGAATCTACAGGTCTCAAAGACAATTCAGTTGAAGACTTTGAGATATAAATAAGCTTTTTCCAAATGCCCCTACATGAAATTAAGCCTGGCCAAACAGCTGGGAAAAACAAGAGAGGTGCAGTGATGAAATCACCTTTCAAAAAACTAGAAGCAAAGACAACTTAGCACCACTTTAGGCAAGAAGGACAAGGAAATACAAGAACATGTAAGAAAAAATAAGCATTTTCCTGAAGAGTTTTAATACAGTGTCAGGAGGAAAACTAAACCCCACAAAAAACACTTTCAAGCATTCAGCTGTTTTCTTGAGACTAAATTAGAACACCATGCTCACTGCTTCAACAAAATAGAAAAGTAGAGGACATCTATCATATATGAAGCCATAGAAAAATGAGGCAGGGTACAATAAACTACTGAAAGTTTTCCTTCAAAGAAGTAACAATTAAGAACTTCCATGCAGAATTACTGAAATTCTGTATTTTTATATAGTTCATTTTTTCCTCAATGATTCTTGGATTACTTCAGACCAGAGTCAGCATCATTATTTGTCACTGGACTTATCCAAAACATAAATGATATCAGCACCTCTTCAGTGAACTCTTCTGATGAGTAGCTCTTATCAATTTCTTAAAATAGGAATAGTTTTCTTTGCTCTAGGCAAAATCAGAAAAGGAAAATAAAGTTTAAAGAGTAGTAGTATATTTGAGGAATGGATGGCTTAAAATAATGTCTAGATGTAGGTTAATTAGGTAAAAGCATTAAAATAAAATCTTGAAGAGATATAGAGCCAAACAAAGTCATTTCATAAGTCTAAAAGCAGTTGGAGGTAATTTGGATTATTAAAAACCAGTCCTTTGTAAAATCAGTTTCAATGTTTTGGAAGGGTAAAGCCTAGTAGCTTGCCTTAGTTACAAGCAAGTCAGTTCTACAACTCAGGAAGACAGTACTGTGTATTCCAGAGCAGCTGTGTCTCAAAGGAAACCATCATTATATTATTCAAAGCTGCTGCTTCAATACAGGAGAGAATGAGCAGCAAAAATTCTTGGGCTATCCATCTGCTACACACATACTTAGTCAACAGAAGCAATCACACCCCTTCAAAATATTATCCTGTTACACAAACTGCAAGTAACTTATTTCTGAATACATTAGGAACTTTTGAACAAGGCTTCCTGCAAGAAAATTAAGTGCTTTACAAGGCGATTTTGCAGTTACAGAAAATTGTCTTACATCCCTATATAAGGAAGTTGACAGCCATTTTAGAGCCCTGTCTAGAAATACCCTGAGGACATCAGAGGCCAGTCCTTTTCAAGGCACTTGTTTATAGCTGCCACCCCGGATTTACAGCTCAAAAGAAATGCCTTTACTTTTCTTCTTTTAGTAGTAATACTGGAGTACTAACAAGAACCTAAGCATTGCTCTTTGGCCAAAGCTGAGTTGCAAAGCTAAGGTCATTCAGCAGGTCCGTGTCCTGAGCAAGTCTTTCCATTTGTTTTGATCCTTCTTTCTTCTCCAAATATTTGCTCATTTTAATCACAGCACCACCTCTTTACCTCTTTTAATGAAAGAGGTCGTTGTCCTTCTGTGCTTTTGCACAGTCCCAACACCATGATACTGGCTAGAGATCCCATTTCCAATCAAACTGCTTCCAAAACAACCTATTCCAGCCAAAGTGACAGCATTTCTTGTAAGACAAGCATTATTGATGCAAATTAGCAGACCCGTATCAGAATATATGAATGACCAAAGTTCTACTCAATCTGTTTTATTTTAATTTTCACTAGTTGACAAGTCCAGTTAATCCACAGAACTCTTAAAAATAATGCTGAGGTAAATCAAAAGAAGTGAAGTAGTTAAATTACTGGCTATCAAAATAAAAGTATCTTAGAAAACTGCTTTATTTAAATCAAATATCACATATTTTAAGTAATCAATTACTTTGGCATATTTCATATTCTGGGTTAGCAAATACTTCCCACATAGTGCATCTTCAGGCTTTAAGTGTGAGGCCAAGTGTACAATTCAGGCAGCTTTTTGACTTAACATAGACTGATGGATCCTGTCAGTGTGCCCTTACAGCAAATACCCATCTGCCAGAACAGTACTTCCCTAAACCTGCGAGCCTGAAAGGCACTCTCTTATGCTGATTATCCAGGAACTACTGATTTGAAAGACAATGGGAAGATGCTTAGGGAGCACACCAAGTAAAGCATTTTCCTCCTATTACAGTATCTAGGAAATGTTTGGAGCTCATCTTTACTTATTTCCCAGCTCCTGAAAAACACTCACTATGCTAAGAATCAAATGTTATCTTATGTCAACATTTAAAGATCCCAATGTGCTAGCTACCATATTCCTACACCAGAAAACATGCACAAACCAAACTCACAACATCACAGGCCACTGTCCTGTGAAAACACTACAGATCAAGTATGGTGCAACTAGGAATTGCAACATTAGGTAAGTGATCACTTTGAAGACACCAACAGGAAATTTTCTGTAAGATGTTTGAGAATACCTCTCTTCAAGTATTCTCCCATGGGCACAATGGGGTACTAATAACCAACCAACAGCTCTAGGTCATCACTACACTATTACTGCCTTTTACTGTGTTTTCTTCCTTCAATAATCACTTTAAAATATGTTTTATAATGAGTGGGCAGGGGTGGAAAAGAGACCAACTAGAGCCAATTTCTTCAGCTACTATACACCGTCAAACATCTTACAAAGTCCCAGTGCTAGCTTTTTCTTAAGAGTGTTTTTTAGAACAGAGTGCAGTGCACGAAAACAAGAGCAGTAGGAAAGATTTCACACTTGTTTGCTGACACACACACCATGTGTCAAAACAGGAAGTACATTATTCAGCAGCACAGGAACGCTCGGCATGGACATTGAACACACTTGGTGAGTCAGAGCACCCAGGTTGAAGATGGATTTAGTGTGAGATAAGTGTTTGTGATGAGTTAGTGCAGAGCTGTCACCAATGTTCAGGGTGAGCTTATTTTGCCAACCTTCTGTCTGAAAAGCACAGATAATCTAAAAAGGGACCTACAAGAGAGCTGGAATGGGGCTTTTTACAACAGCAGGCAGTGACAGAACAAGGGGGAATGGCTTCCAACTAAAAGAGGGCAGGTTTAGATTAGACATGAGGAAGACATTTTTTCATTGTGAGGATGGTAAAACACTGGCACAGGCTGCCCAGAAAACTGTAGACACCTCCTCCCTGGAAGTGTTCAAGGCCAGGCTGGATAAGCCTTTGAACAACTTGGTCTGGTGGAAGGTGTCCCTGATCCTGGCAGGAGGGCTGGAACAAGATGATCTTTAATGTCCCTTCCAACTCAAACCATTCTATAGTTCTATCATGATACATATTTGTGTTTTCTTGCATTGATGTACAGACAGTGAACTAAAAGTTACAAGTTGTTACTTCTGTCTGAAGTTCTGCTTGAACCACTTTCACTGAACAACTTTTGCTGCTATGTGTTCAAAGTTTTGACAAAAGTACTCTTGACTCTTAAAATTAGGTTCAAAACCAACTAAGAGTAAAGCTTATAAACATGGGGAAAAAACAAAGTACTGCAACCAGTTATGCAAAAAAAAAATTAATTGTGCACTTCTTCTGCCTCACTGGGCAAAAAGTTGCTTGTTCAGATGTCTGACATCTCCATTAGTGAGCTGGATGATGGATCAGAGTGCACCTCCCCAGTCTGCAGAGGACAGGAAACCAGGAGGAGCTGTTACTATGCCAGGTGCTTGTGGTGCCATTCCACAGATCTCACTGGGCTGAAGAAATGGGCAAACAAGAACCTCATAAATTCAACAATGGGATACGTAAAGTCTTACACTTGAGAAAAAACAACCCTTTGTAGCAGGACAAGTTGGAGACAACAGCCTGGGAAGCAGCTTGGCAGAACAGAGCCTGGGGTCCTGCTGGACAAATTGCCCATGACAGCAATGTGCTCCTGCAGCAAAGGCTACCAACAGGCTGTGTTAGGAAAAACACTGCCAGGAGGTCAAGGAAGGTGATCCTTCCCCTCTATTCTAACTAGAACTCAGACCCACCCAAAACACCGTGTCTAGTTTTGGCTCCCCCCGTCCACAGAAACATGGGCACATGGGAATGAGTAAAGAGAGATCCCTACCAGACTGGAGAATCTGACATGGGAAGAAGGGCTGAGAGGGCTGGGATTGTTCAACCCAGAAGAGGCCCAGGGGAAGCCTTGTCAAGGTGTGTGAATACCCAAAAGGGACAACAAAGAAGATGGAGCCAGACTCCCCTCAGCAGTGGTCCATAAAAGTACAACAGGCAATGGGCACAAAGTGAAATACAGAAAATTTCCTGTCAACAAAAGGTTACATTCTTTTAGTACCACACAGCAGACAAACAGGGGAATAGCTTTGCCAAGAGAGGCTGGAGTGCCCATCTTGAAAGATAATTGAGAAGAGTCTGGCCATGGTGCTGAGCAACCTGCTCCAGCTGATCCTGCTTGGAGGGCAGGCTACTGGACTTAATTGTCTACAGAGGTCCTTTCTAACCTCAGCTATTCTGTAGATGCGGGACAGAAACAACATGCACCTCATATAAACCTGGTCTCTTACATGTTTCCCTGGAACAGTCCAAAAATTGCATTTCCATGAGAAATCAGAATCTTATTAGATCTGTTGTATTTTCCCTGACAGAGATGCCAACAAAAGAAACCAAACACTTGCTCAGAGAAGGCACTGACATATCCTGTGCTTCTACAACTCTCCTGTTGCAACTTTTTTTTAAAGCAGTAGCACATCAGCTAACCCAAAACTGCTTGCCAGCTAACAGCCCAGAATATTTTCAGAAGTGATCATTCCTGCTTTTGGGTCTCACATCTTCCACTTCTGGGATCTTAGCCTATACGGCTTGCTATCACTTTAATAATTATTCATACTTTAAAGATATGGATGAATTATCCAGCTTCCTGTCATCACTTGTTTATTATTTTCAGCAAAGAACTCTGATAACAATGTTTGCATTCATTCATTTTCAAATTGCCAGCTTTCATCTTACATGCTCTCATCTGAGACTAGCAGAATTCCCCATCAGTAGGATTAAAGAAAAAAAAATTCCACAGCAGTTTGCAAGAAGAATAGCTGACAACCTTCTTGTCCTTGAGAAGGGACTGGAGGGTGTAGGGGGGAATATTCAAGAATTATTTTGTACACTTAAAGAGCTTCTCTGGATTCAGCTGAAGAACTGTATTTACTTCCCCTGAGCCAAACTGCTGAAGAAGGGCTCAAGTATTTCCACTCCAGTAGCAACCACAATTTAGCTCTGGAGCAGGGATTTCCCTCTGCAGTTTAAAGCACCCTTTCACATGAAAAGCGCTCTGTGGAACACACTGTAAATGTAGAACTATTACACAACTATTATCTAGTGATGCTGGCATGAGGAAGCTAGAGGGAAGAAACAGGAAGGATATAAATACAAGTCTGCAATCTTTTATATTTTACTCACATAAGGGAAAATCACCAGAGCTCCAAGAGCTACATCTGAGCTACTGTGTTGGTGAATAATAAAAAAAAAACAAAAAAAAAAAACCCCAACAAAACAAAACAGTTATACACATTCATTTTACACAGCTTTTGAATAAACTGGAAATAAAAATTCAGATTCTCAGTTTCACAGAAACTTGTAGGCACCTGACTCCTAAAGATCAAAATGAGATTTCACATCAACTTACTTTAGTAGACTTTAGCCTTAGTGTTCATTTCTCTGTGCTGCTTTTCCACCTTCACCAGTAAAATGTTTTGATATATGACTCACAGCTAAGAACATTTCAGAGGACACATTCAAAAGATTTGAGCAGACACTGTTCTGGCAGGTTTTTTTAAACAATGAAAAATGTTACCAAAGATTACAGGAACAACCCAGAAGTTGAATGGCTGCTGGGAAGAGTCAATAAACATCACCTTTGCTTAGAAATGGAGAGTTTCAGTGCAAAGGTGTCTCACCCTCTTACTATTTAGCTTGCTAACTTTACAAACAACATTCCATTCTGTTATGTATATTTTTGTTGAGATATTTTAGGGGAAAAGAATGCCTGTGAAAATAAAAGAATTAGTCCAAAATATTCTCTACCTTTTAAATAGCTGGCACCTTGACAATTCATCTTAAGTCATAAGCACCACAACAAAAAACTCACTGATCCTCACTGCCAGTAATTTTTCAGGAATGTAGCAATCAAATCTGTGGTATCAACTGGAATACACCTAAAATGCAGTCTTAAAACAACGTTCTTAGCATTAAATGCCTTCACATTGTTCTGGCTATGGAAAGTGCTGGAGAGCTCTTTACAACTATTTTAAAATTTAAGCCTGATGCTGTCAGGTTCAAAGTACTTCTGGGCGAAAGAATGGAGCCTTCACACGTAAAAGGAGAATCAACACTTTGTCCTTCTCCTTCTCGGACCCGAGCAGAACGGAGCTGGTGGAGGAGGACATGCACAAGAAGAACACGGCCAGAGAACCTGCAGAACCAACACTGTAAAGAGCACACAATGCTCAGCTTGTGAAGGACAGCATGATCACAACACAACAAAGTTGACTTTGCATAAACATCTACAGATGGCAAAATGTGGATACGCCGACACAAGAGATGTCTAAAGAAGCATTTTGCAATAGAGATCCTTCTCCCATGTCCTTTCCACAGCTGCTGCTATTTATGTGGTAAACCTCCTGTATATAACACTCGAGACTTCAAACAAAGGTTCCCGTTGATTGCTATGAGCATCATCCTTGCAGTTCAACAGTTCTCGGAGGCACTGAGCATTAAGGTCATCGCTGAGTCCTTCACCCGCCTCACAACACCTGGTTAAAGCCCAAGACCACCTATGCAGCCCTGTAAGACCTCCATCCTGCAGGCAGACCCAGTATGTCAAGGAACAGCTTTTACCAAACTGTATTTTGGCTTACTCGCCTCCACAGCCCTCCAGTACGTCTGAACCTTTTTATATTTTAAGCTCATCTCCATCTTCGGGGGACCAAGCAGCCAGGGAACCATATTACACTGCCACCTCCACTCTCTCCCCTTTAACACGTCTCCTAACAACGCCACGTAGATCCAGATAATCATCTGGGATGAGCACGTCAGGCAGTCCTCGGCGTTCCTGAGGGAGTGCATTCCACTCACACGCCCCAAACCCTCTCCCCCAGCCCGGCTCCGTCCCAGCCCGCTCCCCCCTCACACCGCCCCGCGAGCACAAGGACCTCACTTCTCTCCCAGCTCCTTTCCAGCTCTTTCTGTGTCCCCAGCGTGGCCCGGGGGCCTCCCCCGTCCCCTCAGGGCACGGAGACACCAGAGAAGAGCCGCATATTCCAGGCACGTCCCTCTCCCTCCGCGGAGGGGGATGGGAACAGCAGCAGCGGAGCGGCACCAGCCGAGACGTCAAGCGGAGGAAAAACGAGGACAGGCGGGAACTACGCGATGGGAATCGCTCCCAACCTCCATCCCACAGCCCCGGGGCTGCCGAGGCGGGGAGAACCGGGGGTAGAAGGGGCTCCCCTCAGCGCTGCTCGGGCGGGACGCTGAGGGCGTTAACGCGCTCCCCCCGCACCGGGAGGCGGCCCGGCACCCACCTTGAGAGTGGGGTACTCCTGCACCTTCAGAGTCATTGAGAGCTGAGCGGCTGATTCCTGCACCGCCATCTTGGCTCGGGCACCGGCCTCCCCCCGCCCTCCGCTCTCCCTCCCGCCCTCCTTCCCAGCGCGTCCCGGCGGGAGCTACCTACGGCGCGCGCGGCATGCCGGGAATCGGCGCGCGCCCCGCCCCGGCCCTCATGGACGCGGACCGAACCAACGCCGCGCTCTGCCCCCCCCCGCCACCGCCGCGGCTTGGTACGCTCCGCGGGGGCGGTGACGGAGGGAGAGTGACGGCGCGCCGGCCAATGAGCGGTTCGCTCCCTCACGTTCCCCCGCCGGGAGCGTCGGCACCGCCCCAGAGCTCGGAGAGCCGCGCCTGAATGGGCAGCGCGGAGGGAATGGGCGGGGCCGCGCGGAGGCGCGGACAAATCAAAGGGGATTACGGCAGCGGGATAGGCGGGATTTGGGGCGTTATGGACGCCCAGCCACTCAGCGGAGGCAGAGAGCCGCTTCCCATGGCCCAATCAGAACATGCTCTGGGACTCAGTGGGCGGGGCCTAAAAGTAAATTTTGCTGGTGACTTCAAACGGCCGTTTTAACACCCCCGAGGTGTCCGGGAAGGGGAGGGGCGGGGCGCGGGGCGGGGCGCGTTGTGATGGACAGCGCTTCCAGCCAATGCTGTCGCGTCTCAGGTTGACGGGCAGGCTGCTGAACCAATGACCGGTGCGTCTGGGCGGGCGGGCGGAGCGGCGGGCGGCGTGTGGCTGTGTGTACATCGGGAGGGGCGGGGCCGCCCCCGTGAGTTCCGCGGGGCGGAGGGAGCGAGTGGGAGCCAGTGAGGCGGAGACGGCGGGAAGAGGTTTAAATAGCGGAGACGGCGGCAACCCCCTGCCCTCGGCTCCCCGGGCTGGCGCCGAGTTTCTCCGGTGAGCGGAGGCGTGGGGCGGGCGCAGCTCCCGCCGCAGCCGGGCCGGTCCCGCCCGCCCCGCGGGGGACGGGGTGGGGAGGGGGGGTGGCGGCTCCGTTCGGCCGCCGGGGTCTCTGGTGGTCCCTTCACGGCTCCCGCAGCCGCGCCGGGGAGCGGAGCTCGGGCGCTACAGGTGCGGGGTTCGGGCGGCTCCGGGTGTGCGCGGGCTCCCGGCGCGATCCCGGCGGGCTGTGGATCTCCATGGCTGCGCTCGGAGGCTTTGCGTGACCCGCTGACCTCTGGCCGGCCCCTGTAAGGTGACAAGCACCGCTTTAAGCGAGCAGTAATTCCTCTGCCGGACGTACGTGAGTGTTTCCATTAAAAAAAAACAAAAAAAAAACAACGAAAAACCAAACAGGGACATGATCCTGTAGAGTTTCTACTTGTGTGTGCGAGGGAATAAAGCCGCTCTTGGAGTGTCAGTCCCAATGTAAAAGCTGCTTTCTGGGTAAGGCGTAGAGGGCAGTGTCTCGATGTTCGGCTCCTCGCTGTGACCCGGGCGCTGGGACAGAACCTCCATCACTGAGAGCGTGCAGCACAGGGGAAATGTGCCCACAGCACCTGTGCGTGCAGTGAAATACAAACTTCATTCTGCTGCTGCCGATGTCAAAAGTTAAGTTTCTTGATGCACTGGCAGCAAATGTGCTTCAAGCAGTGTGCTGCTTGAGTTTGAAGCTTTAAAGACACCCTAAAACCTGTATCTATCAATAACCATGATGATTTTTTTTTGCTCTCTAATCATTGTGGCTATATTTTTACTGGGCTGCAGAAGACTGAGGGAAAATAAACACCAGTACTTCCAGGAGGAGCGAACACATTCAACTTTCATGGTTTGAAAGAGCATGTATATTTCTGAGAATATTTGGTGGCATTATTTCTGATGTGCATAGACCTCATTGCACTGAAAATATCTGTCCAGGAATGGGGGTAAATAAAAGGGAATGTGGGAAGTCATGTAGCTGAGTGTTAGATTCTCTTTGCCTCTCAATTCTTAACTTTTTACTGATATTTACTCACAGCTGCCCTAGCATTCAGCCTCGTGTTGACCATAACCAGCAAATGTATGCCTAAACGTAATTTACCAAGCCCATACCAGTTGCAAAGCCTTTGTCTGAGAAGTGTCTTAGTAAAACTTTTGTGCTAGTTGCACCTGGGATTGGCATTCATGTCTAGACATGATCTTGGGACCAGATCCTGCAAGAGGATTTTTATAAGGGGGATTTTGACTCCATTAAGGCTCTGTGCAGGGAATGGTTCATCCTGGGCTGCTTGGGTGGAGGATCGAAAACTTTGCTCAATTGTTGCTGTATTTACAAACATAATTATGTGGCATTGTAAAATATTCCCGTTCTTCCTGTCTGTCTTAAATATCCTGTAAGCTAATATTTAGAAGGAAATTTGCTCTTGAGTATTCCTTGTGATTATGGTACGGAGCAGCTTGAACCTGTCATACCTTAACTCTGTGATGCTTATAGGGATTGAAGAAGTGTGACTTGCCATGTATTTGTCCAAGACACTTATTTGCAACAGGTTTTGTTTATATATAATCTCTTAATAGTCCTTTCTGATAATACAGTAGCTAGTTTAATGTAGCACAGATACTCTGTGGATACGGGCTATGTGCTCAGACTGTCTTTAGAGTGGAGGGTTATTGGTGAGGCTTTGTCAGACGTTAGTAGCCAGAGCTAAAGGGGCTGCTTGATGGAACAGATGGCCAAGCAACCATCATGTCAGAGGAAACAGCATGCATTCGTGTATTCTTAGTTTAACACAAGAGGGAGCATGTCTAATCTTTAACCTTTAAATATTGCAACTTCAGGGAGAAAGCTTGAAGTGTTGAGTGTCAACTAATTTACGTTCAAGGCTCCATGTGCAAATATTGATACAACCTATGCATATTTCTGGCATGTTTTCAGCTTTAGTCTGCAGCTGTTGATTTATACTGTAAATGTTGGCATGATAAATGTGGGGATGAGAACTAAGCTAATGATCTTACGAAGTTGTTAAATTCTGTAGTTTCCTGCTAAATTAAACAAAATATTTATGGCTATTGTTATTCTTGGGTATGGTCATTAATGTACTATGGTTGTACTTTTTTTCTTGAATATTAGGCTAATATATGTCTTCTGCTTAACCTACCATACAAACTTATAAAGCCGAGTCTTAATTTAATTAAATTTAGTTTAATTGCCTATATACCTTTGCTTTTAGAGTTCTTATAAATTCTACCACTTTATTCTTCAATAGCAAGTATGAAGTTGGATCTACTAAGTTTGGTGCTGTATCTTCTTTATTTTTTCCTTGTCCCCTGGTGTCATAAAAGGAAGATGAAAAATCAGCTTCCATTTTGTATTTCTTGGTTGTCCAGTTGAATCATAATGTGATAATGTTTGTCCTCATTCAGTGTCTTGTTAATGTGAATTAGCAATTAGTTTAACTTAAGCAGTGTTCAGAGAATACCCCAAACCTTTAGGAGAACTTCACTCATTTGTTTCCAATAGCCTTCAGCTTTGCTCCAGATTAATGATCAGAGAAAAACATTAAACACTGCATGCAAATGATGTATCTTTCAGGAACACAAACACTCTGTGTTTCTTGGTGGAGCAGAGCAGAAACCTCAGTGCTCTGCTTTCATACGCTGAAGAAAACTGCTATGACCTGAGATTTTACCACATTTTCTTCTCTTTCCTCTCTGTGGCCATTATAACCCCAGTGCCAGGAGGCAGAAGTGGGTGTGTGTCACCATCATTTCTTGTATTTGCAGACCAGACTGGCCTGAGGCACGAATATGAAGGCCTGTGCTGGTTCAGGTGGGAAGGAGCACAGGTTGTCCCACTGTTCAGTGGAGTTCTCTTCCTCCGAGCAGGTGGGTGTGGTGGTATTCTCCATGATAATGGATTCTCCATGTTTCTTGGCCATTCCCTATCAGTCAAGACTTATGCTTTGGTTTTCTTGCCCAGCAGGCTTAGACTGCTGCACAGATTTTACAATAAAGGTGTATTTCTACTTTAAAAGAAAGTAGTAATGTGACTGTATAGTTCATGGTTTGGAGTTCTTTTTCTTCATTTTGTTATTGTAACTTTAAACATAATTGAAAAGTGTCTCAGTGTACCTGGCTTGTGTATAAAGGCTGGTGAAGTTTTATTTCTATATCTGAGAAGAAATTGCCAAGAGTAAAAACCCAACAACAAACAAAAGAAAAAGCCCCCACCACCAAAACCCTGCGATTAACAATAGCAGCAGCTACTGCCCCGATGTACCACAGTTTAGAGTGTAGTTGTAAAGTAGTAAATACAGATCAAACACTGTTTCCTTATTTTAACATAATTATAAGGACCCTTTCCTTATCCAGGGAAAATGCAGATGCCCTCAGCAGTTTGGGTTACCAAGTTACCATAATGAATTGGGGTTGAGACCTCAGTAGAGGCTGTGCTGGATCGTCTGTGGGAGCATTTTCATATCTCTGGTACCTTTCAGGCAATGTGTGTGTAGAACTTACTTAGAAATTATCCCATATTTATGCAAACCGGGTTTTGACGTTAAGGTATGTTTTATATTGCTTTTATTAAAAAAAAAAAAAAGGAGGGGGCATTCACAATGTAGGTCAAATTCTTGTGAAACCTCTTTAAAAAAAAGACTTGCATTTGCATAAAAAAAGGCATGTGGGACTGCCTGAAGAAGTGCAGAGACTCCTGTAACTTTCTGAATTGTCTAAATGGGTGATTTAAAATGCAAAGGAAAGGGGTTTTACCTGCAATATTTTTGGCCATAAGCATTTTTTCTCCTTTTTTTTTTTTTTTTTTTTTCTTTCTGAATTATAGCCCCCTGAAAATGGAGGGGTTTAGAAAGAAAGTGCTGACACAGCCTTGACTACAGAGCAGTGCCCTGCTTGCTGCTGCAATAATTGTCCAGGCAGTGTTTTCTGCTTCCCTGCCATTTTGCTTTACATTCCTTCAATCCATTCCATTTTTAACTTTCCGAAAGTTTGGTATTATTGCGAGCCCCCGGCGTGTGTGCAGCCGCCGGAGGAGCGAGGTTGGCAGAGTAGCATGGACTTGTTAATCTCAGCCTGATCTTGTCAGCAACAGCAGAGCAGAGCGAGAGAGGCAGAGAACTCCGGCTGGGGCAGCGCTC